TAATCTGTTCAGTTTTAGTGACACTGGTTTTAATCTGTTCAGTTTTATTGCCACAGGTTTTAATCTGTTCAGTTTTATTGCCACTTGTTTTAATCTGTTCAGTTTTAGTGACACCGGTTTTAATCTGTTCAGTTTTAGTGCCACTGGTTTTAATCTGGACAGTTTTAGTGACACTGGTTTTAATCTGTTCAGTTTTAGTGACACTGGTTTTAATCTGTTCAGTTTTAGTGACACTGGATTTTAATCTGTTCTGTTTTAGTGCCACTGGTTTTAATCTGGACAGTTTTAGTGACTCTGGTTTTTAATCTGTTCTGTTTTAGTGACAGTGGTTTTTAATCTGGACAGTTTTAGTGACACTGGTTTTAATCTGTACAGTTTTAGTGCCACTGGTTTTAATCTGTTCAGTTTTAGTGACGCTGGTTTTAATCTGGACAGTTTTAGTGACACTGGTTTTAATCTGTTCAGTTTTAGTGACACTGGTTTTAATCTGTACAGTTTTAGTGACACTGGTTTTAATCTGTACAGTTTTATTGCCACTGGTTTTAATCTGTACAGTTTTAGTGCCACTGGTTTTAATCTGTTCAGTTTTAGTGCCATTGGTTTTTAATCTGTTCAGTTTTAGTGACACTGGTTTTAATCTGTACAGTTTTAGTGACACTGGTTTTAATCTGTTCAGTTTTAGTGCCACTGGTTTTAATCTGGACAGGTAAAGTTAACATATTGTTTGGCCCTATACGAGCTGAACATGTTTTGCCGTGCGAGGACCGTCAAAGGTCTCCCCTCAGGAAGCATCTTTTTGACCTCCGATCGATGACCTGGAAAGGTCAGGCCCCCAGTGAGGGCTGTGAACAACCCTAATCTCTGTCATGCGGGGCCCGTGTGGCCCGGCCCCAGGGGCTCGGCTCTGCGTCACAGAGCGTCGGCAGATCGACCCCTGCTCGTACGGCAGCTGTGAAAACTTCCGAGCAGCCGCCTTGAAGACCTTCTGAAACCGCGGCGAAGCGCAGACGCGAGTCTCGTCTGTCAAACGTCTGAACGTTCGTTGCATCGAGCGCTCACGGACTTCCTGTCTCCATTCACAACTTCTCATGAGGCTGGATTAGAAAAATCGTCTCTCGGTGTAAAACGTCGGTGCTCCGACCACGGCTGGCCCTCTGTGTTTGCCAGAGTGCTGGGGGGGTCGCAGCAGACTGGTGTGCAGTCGCGGTGAGACGGCGCTCGGAGAGGCAACCTGAGCCCGACTTCATTCTGACGGACTGGGCTTTCGTCAGAGTCAGTCAATTGGATTAGAGTTGATCATGACTCAAGATGATGGGATGTTAATCAGGACTGATCAGGCACTTAACAGCCTCTCAGATGCACCGGGCTCACCGTGGGGCCGTAGGTAGAGAGGCCAGAGCCCCCGCCCGGCCCGCCCCCCTCCCCCAGATCAATGAGCCTTGTTGTTGTCTGGAGCGTATCGACAGCCAGCTGAAGGCGGATGAAACATTTACAGGAGCTGGCTGCGCACCCAGCTTTATGACTGCCATACTTCACTAACAGAGCCCCCGCCAGGAAAACACCGATCAAACGAGCGGGTTGTTTGTGTGAGATGTCACATCCATTAAAGAACGGACGCAGATTTTACCGTCATAATTACTGTAACTGAAGGTTGTCCCTCGTTTTGCTCTTTAGGCGTATCCTGTGGTACAACTCCAGTTTCCTTGTCTTTCACTGAACAAAAGCAACGTTCTGGAGACTCGCTCACGTCGCCAGTGGAGCACGTGACACAAACACGTTAAAACAGTTGTTCTCTGTCGTCGCAGTGGCTTTCCACGGTCTGCAGCTGAAGATCAAGAGGGAGCTGCACAGCCCGTGCTCCGAGCTGAGCTCCACCTGCAGCCAGGAGCGGCCCTTCAAGCTCCAGTATGGAGAGAAGTGCCCGTACAGCATCAGGTGAACCGCTGCGCCAGCCTCCGTCAGGTTTTATAAAGTGTCTGTTCACCAGCGTGACAGTGAAAGAAAACACAACTCCTAACTGCTCGAGAATCTTGGACTTAGATTTTGCTCTTTAAATGATAACATTTTACACAATAAATCATTTTAGATATGTTTTATTTATCGTCTCTGTGAACACGGGACCATTTGTTGGTGCAGTTCTTTCACTTTAGGGGGGTCAGTTGCGACCTGGTCTGATTAGCTCCAACCTGAACTCGTCTCTTCTCCTGATCATGGTTCAGGCTCCAAAGAGTTGGCAGGTTATTGTTGCGTGAAGGTCCACAACAAGTTTTACATCATGAACTGGTCTCAGAAAAGAGGTACCAAATCATCCACGGGCCGGTACTGGTCCTTGGTTCGGTGGTTGGGGACCCCTGAAACAGTTTTATTGAATGCAGTCCATTTAAAAACGGACTAATCTTTACTAAAGAGAAACAATAAATGACCTTTCTTTTAACTGTTTAACAATCAGCTGATCAGATCAAACATTTTACTTGTTGGGCTGAAGAAATATGAACTGACAGCAGCAGAAACTTTGGCAGCACTACAGCTTTGTTTGTTCCACAGTGCCTATGAGCAGAAGCAGCCTGCAGGAATGAAGCCCTCCAGCCCAGTGACGCCCCCCTGTAGCACCCCCGTGTCCCCCCTTCACCATGGCTCACCCACAGCGGCCCCAACGCCCAAACCAAACAGGACTTACGGCCACATCCCGCCGCCCTCGCAGCCCCTCCCTGACACCGCCTACTCCATGGACCACAGGTACGACACCTGCGGCACCTGCGGCACCTTTAGCTGCTGGTCCCAGAACAGTTTGCGTCAGTTTTACTCACACGAGCATCTCACGTGTTTAACGAGCGTTAAGTTCAACAGAAACAAAAATAAACTTACCGCACTGAAACACATCAGACCAGATGAAAGGGAAGTGTTTGATTATGTCGTTTATATGATTTTTAAAGTTGATTTCAGCGTTTATGTTACTTTCTTTAAAAACAGAACAGCATCGGAGCAGAAATGTGTAAACTCAGTTTCGAGACAAAACTGGTGCCTCGAGTGAAACGTGAACAAATTTGTCGCCCGCCTCAGATTTCGACGTCAGCTCTCGGAGCCGTGCCACTCGTTTCCCTCCCCGCCGACGATGGCTCGGGACAGCCGGCCCATTTACCACCGGCAGATGTCGGAGCCCAGCATCCCCTTCCCTCCTCAAGGCTTCAAGCAGGAGTACCCCGACCCGCTCTTTGAGCACCCGGCCATGATGGGAGCGCCTCTGCCCCACGGGTACCCCGCCGGCATGATGATCAAACAGGAGCCGAGGGACTTCACCTACGACTCAGGTGAGCAGCGGGAAGAAGTTGCTGGTTCGATGCTACTCCTACGACTGTCAACAAGTGGAGTGAGAGGGGACGTGATGGGAGGGGCTGAGCGTTCATTGAGTTTGTCCATTAATGGAGCAGGGGTTCTGGTTGGGCCGGGCGTCTGCGCCGGTCACCATTTCCTGTGGCGCTCTAATAGAAAAGCGGGGAGGGGGATGATGGCCATGTTTGGTCGCTGCCCTCGTGCTCCCTTTGGTTAGAGACTAAAGGGACCTAATCATCGGGTCTGCAGGGCCTGAGGCGACACCGGGACATGAATGAACCGGACTGCTGGCTTCATTCATGAACCGACAGAGACCCGGGAGAGACGGAGTGTGTGTGTGTGTGTGTGTGAGACCATTCACGTGGACAGCAGAACAACTCTTTCACATCTCTTACTGCGTGTTACACTCGGGGGTTTTGCCGAGCAGCAGCTCACAGTTTGTTTTTTCTTTTTCAATTATTGATAAGTCAGATAACTGTGATTTTTGGTGTTTTCTCGCATTTCGGTACCATAGATGTGATCACAGAGTTTCACAACTGTGTGGCTTCTAAATGCCAATTAACACCACTGGATCATGCCAGGAAAAAAAACACACGGGCTTCAGCGCAAAAACATCCTTTTATTCTTGACAAACTCTCTAAAAACATCTTGGTCCATTATCAGCACAATTATTTGCATTATCAAGAAATCTTTTTTTAATCAGTGAAGAAGACAAATCTACATTTTTTAAGGTAAAACCAGAAATGTCTGAGTTTTGCCTATAACAATATTTAAGTTAATTATTGATAACCGCTTGCATTAATGATTAGAATAAACCCATTGGAAATAAAAGGAGCCATCCAGCAGTAAGGAGGTCGTTCCAGGGTTGTTGCTGCTGTTGTGCCGTGTTGTTCTGCACATGCAAGATGGAGCACGAGAGTGAATTTATTAGCGTTTATTGTTGAGCATGTTGACTGGAGCAGGCCTGTCGGAGAGGATGGGAGGGGAGTGGTAATTTCATTAGCAGCAATTTCCTCTACAAGCCCATTACTTTGATGAAGCTCAGAGAAATGTTTATGGGCCTAAATGAAGGCTCTCAGTGTGTTTATTGAATATTCACTTTGTAACCTATTTGGTGCTTTTTGATCATAGCATCTCTTCTGGCTTCTGGAAGGGATGGACATTCTCAAAAAAAAAAAAAAGGAATTTGTGAATGATGTGGATATGTTCAATAACCTTCCAATAATTGATCTGTTTGTTATTTACTGAAAATGTTGTAAATATTAGAGATAAACTGATTAATCCACTGATTGATTTTAGTCTTGCCACTTTTAAAAAGGTCTGTTTTTACATTAATTAAGGAAATGAAGCTGCTACATCCAGCTCACTACAGTTTTAATACAGTAGTCCCTCGTTAGTCGCGGGGGATCTGTACCCTGAAGACCCGTGGTAAGTGAAAAACTACGAAGTAGGAATAGTAGTACAAGTAGTAAGTAGTAGTTTATTTTAGCTTGTATATATATATATGAAGGCGTTTTAAACTCTTCCCACACTCTTGCAATATTCTAAACAATGTTTCTAAACTCTAAAGCTCTAAAAGAGACAGAATGTCATGATTTCAGCTCTCTGCCTCCGCTGCTCTCAGACACCTGCAAGCGCTCTTGGCCACGCCCACTTCTCCACTCTGCACGGAGAACAGCTGATCAGCTGCAGCAGGAAGTTTATCCTGCAGTGTGGGCTGTACAAATGTGCAGCATGTGCTAAATAATTTTAAATAATTTATTTTAAATAAAAATTTTATGCCAATTGTGCAGCTCATCCATCAATCAGTCAGTTGTGTGTCATGTCCAATCTTATTTTGAAAAACCGCGATAGAGCGAGTCCGTGAGAAACGAACTGTGAAGTAGTGAGGGACTACTGCAGGTAATGCACTTCTATTTGTTGTTTTCACGTGTACAAGTTCATCAAAAGGTTTTTAAATACACCTTTACAGAAGTGAAATAATTAACGATAAATAACAACAGTCGGTGATTAGCTGCCCTCATTTCTGAAGATCAGCTTAAAACTCAGATCACTCAGCATCTGAGAAATATGTTCTGAAAATTATACGCAACTCTCCCATCATCTCTAAACGTGTGAAAAATTGTATAAGGGCCCCTCAGAAAAAAAAAGTAAGTTTTAGTTTCACTGTTGAGAATGAAGTCAAAAAGCTTTTTCAAGAATAAAGTTGAGACGATGTAAAAACGGTTGAAGCAGCGTTTCAACAACAACGATGAACCGTCTGAAATTAAAGTTTAAAAATAAATAAAAATATCATCATGGTGTAAAGAGCTATGAGCCAAATGTTTTGGAGTGACTTTATGCTTCAAATTAGGTTTTAACCTAAACTTTTTTTAACACGAACACGCTGATGTACAACCTGTTAATAACTTCTCCAAATAGCAGTTTATGCAGCATTATGAGTTTAACAAGATAATGATAAAACTGTAAGACAAATTCATAAAATTCAGATGATTTATCATCAACACTCAGTTTGTGTTTGAGACTCTTATTCTGAAGGACTGGCGGAAGTTTTGTGAGGAATAAAGACGAGATGCTTTGTGTTACTTTAGAGTTTAATCAGTAAAACCTCACCCATAAGCCTCAGCTGCCATAATAAAAATAATCTGAACAGGTTTGGAAGCACATTTGGGTTTTTTCTTTATCGGCTTTAGTGTAAACTATTTTTGATTTTAATCCTAAAACTCAGATTTAAAAATAAAAATAGTTCTCTTTAATTGTTTAATTCTTTACAGCAAATGTAGTAATGTTATTTGTAAGATTAAAGTTGGATTGTTTTGCTAAAAGTCTAATTTTAAAGATAGCAACTATTGAAATATTGAAGCTTAAATGTTTGAAATTGAACAAAAAGGCAAATCAAACCAGATCACTGCGGAGGTTAAGGGATTCCATATTACCATTTATTTAATTAGATTTTACACATTTCAACATTTTTAACTAATCTGCTCATTGATCCAGTGTGGGTTTTTATTTATACAACTAGATGATTAATAAGAGCATATTCCCATTGTGCAACATATTAGCATAGCTTAGCATTAGCTAACATGCCGTCACTGCACAATAACAGCGTTAAATAGCTAACCCCTGTGTTTTTGATTCAGTTTTTATATTTAAAGCCCAAGCAGCATCGTCTTGCATTATGAAAAACTTACATCATGTCGCCGTGTGTTTCCACCGAGTGGAGACACCGCGGGCCAGTATTAGCCGTGCTACAGTGTGTTCGCCTGTGGCTGCTAACCGGTGCAAAGCCGTCGCTGGAGGGCATTTTCTTTAATCAGAGCCACTGGTGCATTGAGTGAACAGGCTCTCAGATAGCTGAGATAGTAATCTTAACGCCGCCTTTGGGTCTTTTAACACCCACTCTCATTCTTGTCTGGTTCTCAGCAGAAGTGCCTAGCTGCCATTCTGTCTACTTACGACAAGACGGCTACCTGGCTCACGCTAACAGGACCGAAGGTACCAGCGCGTGGATCTCATGATGCTGCTTTGTGCTGAGCTTTACATCCAATGATCCTTCTGTGTCTTGTTATTTAAAGGCTGTATGTTTGACAAAGTGGCGAGGCATTTCTACGACGACACCTGCGTGGTACCAGAGAAGGTTGAAGGTGAGCCCAGCCCTGGAAATAGAAGACTTCAGTATTTTCAGCTACAGATGAATTATTTGTTTCATGTTCTGCAGGCGACATCAAGCAGGAGGCCGGGCTGTACCGCGAGGGCCCGTCGTACCAGCGCAGAGGCTCGCTGCAGCTCTGGCAGTTCCTGGTGGCTCTGCTGGACGACCCGTCCAACTCCCACTTCATCGCCTGGACCGGCCGCGGGATGGAGTTCAAACTCATCGAGCCAGAAGAGGTGAGAAGCTGATGAGAAGCTGATGAGAAGCTGATGTGTAGGTTATGTTCAAAAACACACACACATATATATATATATATTAGTACAAATTAAAAAAAATTAATTAGATTGTGTTTTAATTATTTAACTCCACTGATGTTTAACTGTTTACTGAGCTGGATATTTAGATTAATAAACTACATTTGGGTTTAAACTGCTCGTCAAACAAATAAATAGCATTTGAAGGTAAGGTTAATTAAATCCTCCATTTTTATTCCATTTTTGTAAAACAAAATAAACATGTAAGTCTTAAAACTGTTGTTAAAACTTGAGCAGCATCAGGACATCTGAAAACTGTCCTGATGCTGCTCAGTAATCCAGGTAGATAATCTGACTAGGTTGGGTCAGGTCCTCTGGATTAATTCTTCTTGTAGAAACGTTTCATCTTTTATCCAAAGGACTTCTTCAGTCTGTGGAGCTGCAACAAACTCAGTCTTGTAAATAGCACCTTCTCATAGAGGATCAACCAGTTTGTTGTTGACATCCAGAACCAGCTGCTCACATGATCAAGGAGAACCATCAATCTAACAATGGATCGTTAGCGCCATGATGGCTGTTTGCTATTCACAGGGGGCTGAGTGACAGCAGCATTGTAAGAGGGGGACAGTTGGACAGGGAGGCTCCGCCCCTGTTTAATGATGGACAGGTTCTCTTCACAAAGATGGCCTCCTTTAAGGGCTCGACATGCTCCATCCAACGCTGAACAGTCGACTCAAAACTTGTGGTTGCGGGACATTTGTTTTCTCACACACCTTTCATAGTCCATGAGATATGGACGCAGAGCAGAGCTCCTGGGAAACCCCTCCCACTGGTTTCTTCCCACCAGAGTCTCCACCTGTGGTTTGGCCACAGATCTATCATGAAGCTCCACAGAGTTCAGCAGACCTCCATCCAGGAGTTTTTGGCCGTTTGACTCATTTACTTTGTTGGTTTAGTCGTGCAGCTGAAAGCCCGAGCACATTACGCCCACAAACAACCAATCACGCAATACTTGATGCCAACGCCTGAGAGAAAACGTTTGGTCCGGGTCTTGGGTCGAGAAGGGGCGGGTGAAGCTGCTCCACGAACAAAATGACACAGTTTTTGTCACACATCTGCAACTGAGAGTCGATTTCAGCACATCGGATGGAGCATGTCGGGCCTTCAAGTCCTCTCTCAAACCATCGTTCCTCTCTGTCCAGGATGTGAACATCTTCATCCCTGAAAGAGTGACCTCTGACCTGGAGATGAGTGTAGACCACAGAGTCCTGGTCTGATGATGTTGATCTTCTGTGCTGGTCCATCCTTTTGGCCAGTGGCTGTTTAGTTTCCCCAATGTAAGACTGATCACCCTCCTGACACCGAACAACATACACAATACTCTGTTAGTGCCAGAGGACTGGATCTTTGAGACGGACCGGTTGTAATATATTTTGGGGTTTGAAAGCCACTGGGACGTCGTGTTTAGAAAATAAACGTTTCAAAGTCTTAAAACTGGAGAAAAGTCATAAAATACAGTAACGTCAGCCTAAAGCTGTAGTTGATCACTGGTTGGTTTTCAAAATAAAATCTGACCGTGTTGAGTTGTGAATTATTTTTATTTGGCTGTTTGAATCTCCTCATTTTGTTTCACGAGACGTGTTTGTGAAAATGTTCCTCAGGTCAGGTCTTCTCGAACAGCTTGGGTTTGTGTGCGCCACTTTACACACAGTGGGGCTCAGTTACTGCTGGGGGGGTTCTTCGCGGGCTGGGGGTGGAGGAAGGAGGAGGTAGGTGGCAGTGGTCCATGGAGCCTCACGCTGTCTCAAGGTGCGGGCCAGCTGCAGCTAACAGGAGCTCCATTCGTGCCGTCAGGTGATGCAGGATACAAACGCTCAGCAACATCTTCTGCGTTTGAGGCGCGCACGTGTTGCTCATCACACGCATTAAAATTACTAGAGAACGATGCGTTTTGGAGATAAAAATCTGAATAGAGGTCAGATGGAAGACGGGAGGATCGTGGGTTTGGACTGCAAGCCCGGATGGTGGGTGGTCTGTGAGACAGGTGCTGCAACATCTGCTGCCTCCCCCGCTGGGTGTGTCCTAATGAACACCTCCCTGGTCAGGACTGCTGGGGCTGGACGCTCTAATTACTGTCATTAGGAAATATAGATTAATAAGTTTATCATTTCAGCTGCCATGTTTCTAGCTTCCTTTCAGTTGTCTGCAGATTACTGACTGTGTTTCGTGTCCAACTAAGGTGGCGCGTCGATGGGGGATCCAGAAGAACCGGCCAGCAATGAACTATGACAAACTCAGCAGGTCGCTGCGCTACTACTACGAGAAGGGTATCATGCAAAAGGTAAAGATAAAACATCAAAAACGTGAAATATTCCTAAAAACATTAAAAAGAGGAGATTATGTGCTACAGATTATTTTTACTTTCTTTCCCACATTAAACAGACTTGTTAACGTTCTGACTCCAGGTGTTAGTGTTGTTTGTTGGCTCATGGATGTTTCCAGAAAATAAGATGAAGTCGATGAACAAGATGTTTAAATGCCCACATGTGAATAAATAAGGATATTTTTTAAACTGAGATTATCTGGCCTTGCTTCTCCCATTTACACACAAATTTTAAAAAAAGTTTCTAAAGAGGAGATTTGGGGAAAAACTGTTTCTATTGAATCTTTGTGGACAAAAGACACAGCTTTTAAGAAACTACGTGTAATAAAATAGATTTTGCACATGATCACTATCATCCGTCCTTCGTCTTCTTTCAATTGTTCCCTCTTCAGGGTCTCTACAGCGAGACTTCCTCCATCTCACTCTGTCCTCTGTCCTCCATGTCCTCTCTAACTGCATCCACATGTCTCCTCTTGGTCTTTTTCCTGCAGCTGCATTTCTAACATCCAGTATACCCACTGTCCCTCCTCTGGACATGTCCAAACCACTGTCCCTCCTCTGG